TTTCTCATAACCTACTATCGATTCTCTATAGGATTCAGGTGAAGTAACTGATTTAACCACGTATTAGTTCTCTTGGCAGTTCAGGCAGATGCAAAGTCCTGCTGCAAATGAAACCAGCATCTCCAAATGGCTTGTTAACCGAGAGGCATCAAGTGCTCCAAAGATGGCTGCTCCGACATTCCACAGGATGACATTGCTCTCCAAATCAAAACTGATTGTGGAAACTTTACAATGAGGTTCAAGGAACTTGGATTCTGTTCCTCCTCTACTCATTCCCCACTTCCTGGAACCTTGATTGCGGCCCTGAACAATGCAAATTTTACTTTCAGCTGAAAAGAGCAGTCGGCAATCGTCCTGTACTTTTTCTCTTTACCTCAAGTAACACACTTTTGACGCTCTTGATCAGGAGTGACTAAAAACAAAGGAATGTGGACATGACTCTGTGTAGCAGGTCGTAGAGAGCAAACCCAATTTACAAAATCCCAACTGCTCCTCCTGCATCTGTGATTCAGCATTTGGTTGGAGCCTCCAGAATAGACGAGGGTTCAAATACTTGAAGCTTTTTCTGCCTATTGCACTCCTCAAAGTGACACCACTGTAGCCCATAAAGACATTGAAGCACCACTGGGTCTGCAGATGGTATTCCTTTTAGTTCATAATTTAATTCAAAATCATTTTAGTTTAAAAATGATATATTTATTGTGAGGGAGAAAGTCCTAGAAACTTTGGTTCATAAACACAAACAGTGAAAACCTTCCGTCTTACAACTTGGGGGGCTTGAAGATCCATATCACTCTCTCTGTTACCTCCATATCTCTTTCTGCCACACTTTTTCCCCAACCACCAAGCTTTGAATTACAAGGTTTGAATAAAATGACCAGCCTGCTTATTTATCCATATATATATATATATTTTAGGCAGAGTGCATCAAAAATTACCTGCTGGAAAACTGTCAGGTAAGCAGTCTTCCCCTCAATCATGTTGGCCATAAAATGGGCCTAGTTTATGTTCTCATTGTATTTCCTGGAGACAAAAATTACTTTAGTTAATTAAGTGCAATCTCTCCTTCCATATTTGTATTATCCTCACAACTTTTCCTCCCTTTCTAATTATTTCTGCGTAATAATTGCTGTGTGCGGGCTCCGCGCAGTAATGCTACCTGTACTTCAATGGGCCTTGTTGTCTCATTATCAGAGTGACATTTATGCAGTCCTGCATAGCCATCTGGATACGTCCCACACACATGTGAGAGAAACCAGCCTGGGTCTGGATCTGACTCACATCAAACAGCCTCTCTGCCCACACACATACATACACACGCAAACACACACACACACACACACACACGCTAGGACACAAACACCAAATACAGACGGCACAAACAGAGCTGTTTCCAGAAGCTAATATCTGACATTTAGCAAATAGTGAGGTGACAGAGAGCTACATCACACTTAAGACTTTCCAATCACAACAGTAGGGCCTCTCTTAAAACAGCTGCATATAAATCTGCAGACAGCTGTGGAAAAACAAACACAGAGAACAGTCACATTTCCTTAATAATATAGGTGATACGTTTTTTTTTTTCTTATTTATTTCATCCGTATGCATGCAATTTAATGGGACAGCCCCTGAATGAAAATACAATTCTGTAACAGGTTGGAGTTATGAAACTGTATATGGCATACACGTAGACAAAGATCAATGAGAGGTTATAGGTTGCAGCCATCCAGGAAAGTCCCGAAAATATATTATTAAATTAAATCACTTATTTTATAATTAATTTCAAAATAATATATTTATTGAGAGAAAATGTTTTCAATAGTCCAAAACACAGAGGTTTTAGGGTGCTAGGTTGATCAGTAATGAAATAAAAGGGTGGGGAAAAAAACATGCTTGTAGTTCTTGAAGCACCACTAAATATATATCAGAAAAATCTCTTTGTGGTCTGAAACATGTAGTGTTTTGTTATGTATTAATGAAACGTAATGAAGAATTAAAAAAAAAGAGTTATGTGTGACTCAAATGCAGAGGAGATTAAAGGCTACAGCCTGAGGTAATTCTAGCATGTTGCATCTGGACCACTTTACAATCCTCATCTTGCAGCAGTCTCTAACCTACACAGAGGATGCTATGACTGGTGCTCGACATTTGTGAAAAGCCCGAATGCAGTTTCGCTATGACTGTCGGTGCAGTGGGCCATAGAAAAACACAAGTGCACATACAAGTGAACTAAAAGAGGTGAGCTATACCAAATGAATCTCATTACAGTGGTGTGAAAAGGTGCATGCACACTGGTTAACTAAGCTTTGCGCTTCAGAGTCGTATGCCTTCAGAGTTCATACCCAGCTACATTTGGCTGCAGATTACACAGTCCACTGTGATGTTCAAAGGCATGCTTAAGCCATGCTGGATGTGAGGTAGGCCTCGTTCTGTGCCCTTCATCTATCCATCTCTTTCCCTCCTACCTTATCTCATTTATAATTGATTGCTCCCACTGTAGCAACTTAATTTGCTGCCTGTGAATAATGAATGAGACACAGATAGGAGGTGCTTTTTCCTCTTTGCTGGTTTGATACCCGATTAGCCATTTACAGTTTATCTCTGCTATCATTGACCAGGCACAGGGTTCCCAACAAGGGCCACAGAAATGTTGTCGAGAGAGTCACAGGCCCCAGGAATGAATAGAATGACTGAGGGTGCATTTGAATAAATATTAATGGCTATGGCTTTTATATCAAATGAAAACCCAAAATTAAGTTTGTCAGAAAATTTGCATTGCACATGAGACTAATGGAAAAAAAAAAAAAAACCCTGAAACCTTTGCATGAATTAATACATCAGTGTATGGAGGCAGTCAGCTTGTTGGTCTGTTAATGAGTCAATGAAATCCATGTAGCTAGAGGCCTTCGTCTCATCCATTCTCTGTTGGGTGTAAACTCATGTGACTTTGCTTGCCAATCAAGCACAATTATACAGCAGTCACTTAACTGGAAACCAGAGTGGCCACCATTGGTTCCAAGACCTGCTGCAAAAGAAATTGCCATCTATGTAAAGCTTTTCAGCAGCGGGGACCCTGAAGTACTCTAAAATTTCCTGGTAGACTGCTTTGGATTTGATAACGTACAGTGGACCAAAAGATGGCGTGCGGCTCCGCTAACTTATCGGACCTCAAGTAAATAAAATTCTGTACCACTCCCCTCTTCTTCCAGCTTCGGAGACTTTGATTTCTTAATGAAATGCAAAATTTCATTATGTCCAAGGTCCTCCTTTTTCACATGAAAAGGAGGACTTTGGACAACTCAGCAACAGCCAATTTCTATTCCTCCTCTGCCCAGGTAAGCTGCTTTTCATAATGTATAGTTCAGGGAGCTGCAAAAGTAGCCTAAACATAGGCTCTTAAAGCTCTGACTCCAGCATCCCCAAAACCAGTGTTCAAATCCAGGTTTTGAGGTCTATTGTCCTGCAACTTTTCGATATGTTTCTGGCTCAACATACCTGAATGAAATGTCTGAATCTCCTTCTCAGAACACATTAAAGTTCACCAGAGTCCTGCTAGTAACCTTATTATTTGGCTCAGATGGACCCCTGCCTTAAACTTTGCTTTGCGTTCCAATTCTTCCAGGGCTATAGTAATGCCAACTACTTGTGTGCCTTTTGTGACCACACTTTTCCCTACAACTCCAGTTTCAAATTGATTTTTATAATCTTGTATACAGCTACATACACCTAACATCTTTAGCAATGACTTTGGGTGGCTTACCCACAATGACTGTCTGCTGAGCAACTACCAAGTCAGCAATCTTCCCCCTGATTGTGTAGGCCACAGCATAGTATTTTCTGTGTACAAAATCAAATTCCTTTTTGATGAACTGTCTGAGAAACTGACCGTTGTGTGTCAGGCACAAACAAACATCACAGTTAATAAAATGAGACACACCTGAATCTCAATTAACATGTAATAATAATGAATAAATTAATGATAATCATCAGTTCAAGTGACCAAGTAAACCAGGCATTTGAAACTAAAGTGGTAATTTTGTGTTTTTGTATGTGTGATTGAATCTTGAGCTGTAGTGAAACGGTGGAGCAGTTGAATGCAAATGAACCCCGTGACACTGGCAATGCAGAGCCGTCTTTAGCCATGCAAACACTACATACTGTACCTCGCACATGTTCACGCTCGTTTAAATACCCACACTCGCAGAGACAAACAGTTCCTTGGCACATTGAGATGTGCTCTTTTGAGGTGCCTGCCATGTGATGCACATTCTGCTCACCTCCTCTACGCAGCTCAATGGACTTTCAAGCTGCATCCAACTCACGCTCGCTCGCTCTCCGCCCGTTTTATTAATAGCGTCTCTCTGTTCCACAACGTGCCAGAGCATTTCAAGTGAAGGCAAAGAGATTGCATTATTAAAGTTACATCAACCAGATGCCGCCTCACTCTTTCTGGAAGCTCTGGCACAAAGCAACCTCCGACCTGCGGGAGCGTCCCACCTACTGTTGCAGACCAGATGCGTGTGCTCACGTACTCCTTCCCAGTGTGTGCAGACACAGATATGCTTATGAAATGCAAGACCCAGTGGAGGAAAGTTGTGATCGACAGAAGGGTCTTGGTTGTGGGCACCAGCGGGTGGATGACATGGCAGTTGCTTGGTGCAACCTGATGGAGTGATTGCATGTTTGTTCTTGGAGGAGCGGAGATGATGACTGTCATGATCTTTGAGATGATGAAGATATGGAGGAGGACACTGGTGATGTCAGGATGATATCTGTTGACATTCCATCATAGTCTACAACTACAACTACAACTATTATGTCCATAAAGCTATTTGTTAATATATTTGAATCTTTTCCTGCCTGCCTGTTTCTGTCTGATGACATAGTAAAGTGAGGACCCTGAGTGTCTGTCTGAGTCGTAGTGAAATCATAACCGTCTGAATCTGACTGGGTCTTAATCTAAAGCTAAACGGTAAAGATGCATCCATCTCTAAAACGAGATGGATGAGTGTTTTTCAGGAGGGAAAACACACAGGAGTAAGACTATGTGAGAATGAGAGTCGCACTGTAGGAAGCTGGAGGAAGATAGAGGGAGAACGCAGAAACGGAGACAGGGAGAATAGATGAGCATGAGAGTGTGCGAGAGAGATAAATAGAAACGGAGCAAGACGGAGGAGTGGGAGAGTGTAAACAGCAGAAGGTTCACCGGGTTCACTCTGCAGTAGAGGAGCTGAAAGATGGGCGTCAGAACTCGAAGCCCGGGGGGCTGCATAGTGGTGAGTGACTCACATACTCATCTATACATTCACATGGATACATGCAGAGGAGTGCTTTCTGATTAGATTCATGCAAATTCTGCTTCATCTCCAGCTACAAATCATTGTGCATACAAGCCCCAGGAAGACAATGTGTCACAGAATTAATGAGTGAATGTTAAACCAGTTAAACCCTTTTTTTAAACATATGTTCTTAACACTCAACAACATAGGTTTTCTTAAGACAAGTCTTTTTTTGAAACTTAATTAGTCCAACAGATACATTTGAAATAATTTGAACTGAATAGGATCGCCTTGCCAAAAATACTTTCACCCCTAAACATTTGCACATTAAGTCCAGTGACACACAGCGACTTTATCGGACTGTACTACAGTGTAGCGTGGCATCCAGCTACATTCTTTCCTGTTTACTCTGATGTTCTAAATAAAATCAAGTGCAACCACCTACTTTTAGAAGTTGCATATTTAGTAAATAGAGTCACCCTGTTTAATCTCAGCATTAATGCAGCTGGTCAGAGGAGGCATCATTGGCCTGTTAGAGAACATTAGCAGACACACAGCATTTGGAAGACCAGAGGATCAAATCAGAAGTATTTTTGATTAATCAGAAGTAGTGAGTATTTTAATTAACTCACTGCAAGACAAGAATAATATTGATCAGAGCAGCAGCTAGGTGGCCAATATTAACTCTGGAGGAGCTGTAGATAGCTACAGCTGAGTTGAGAGAATTTGCTGACAGGAAACATTTGTCATGCACTCCACAAATTAGTATTTTATGAAAGGATACTATGAAGAAAGAAAAAAATAGGGTGGTAGCATAGTCCTCGGGTTATTTGTATTTTTGTTTTACCGGTGACAGGGAAGCTGGGAAGTTGCTAAATATAGGGTAACTGAAAGAAATCCTGTTTGAAGCAGGAAGTAGTTGAGAGTAAGGCAAATGTTCACTTTCCAACAGGAAAACAGCCTTAACATAAGACAAAACCACAATTATATCAAACCATATTCATATTAGAATAGTCTACTCAAATTTCAGACTGAAATCCAAATGAAAATCTGTGGCAAAATGATGTTCTCAACAAATGTTCTTCATCTAATACGACTTCCATTGAGCAAGGAAGTAGGCCACGAGGTCTCATTGCTGGCACCGACATACCTCAAAAGACAAATATCAACTCAGGTGGAATGAATACAAATGTCCACAACTCTTTTCAGGGTTGAATGTGCAGAAACATATATATATATATATTTTCCTTCTAATTTTAAGTTGTACAGCAGTTTGTTTTGGACTTTAATATGATACAATGAATTTTGTGGCTAAATTAGGACAAAAGTTTCAAAAAGTTGAAGAAGAATGAATTCTTCCTTGACTTGCTACATTTAAATTGATCGAACAGAACTGCATCATTGACTGACTAAATATGATCTGACATTTCGACAAACATAAATGACCCCAAAGTTGGCCTTTATATTCACAGGTCACCCAAACAATTTTCTGTTCAGTTAGCATATTTTAATCTCGCAATGACTAATGTCCACAACATAATACTTAGTTTCCGCTGTTGTATATCAGTAGGGTTGAGTCAAAATGATACTGTCAGTCACTTAGTCCAGGCTGCTGCTTTTCTCAACATGAGTCACCAGATCTCATTTAGACACTGAAAAAAAAAAAAAATACTGCACATCCATGTAAAATTGTTAACACAAACGGTACTGTTTGCAAAAATAGACCTATTTAAAGACCTTATACAACGAGAATCGAATGGCTGACACAACTGTTGTCTTTAAATTTGTTTTTAGACCGTTACACCTCATTTTGTACTGCACATTTATAAATCAGTTTACACCAGATTTGTGACCAACAAGACAATGAGTTAATCGCTGTCAGAAAGTTTTAATGATCAAAGGATTCTCTAAGAATACAGAGTCATTTGTTAAGTATTTATCCTACGATCATGTTTATGATTATGTTGCACTTTGCGAGAAATCTGTAGAGATCAAAATCTGTTTCACACCAGAGGTTGTGCAACTAGAAGGTAAAGCAAACCCAATCCTGTCAACTTTGGTGTATACAATGGCTAATTAACACCTTGACAGAACTGCATGCTCCTCTTTCTGAGAAACAGGGCTTTGCTGCTGCTGCTGCTGCCGCCTCTCTTTCCTGACACATTTAGCTTGTAGATACTGTTGAACAGGGAAGCTCAGAGGCACAAGCTGGAACACTTGCAAGCAGGTGTGCATGTTCGTGCATGTGGCGCTTCGATGTCTGTTGCCATGGTGACCCCCAGAATATCCCCACACAACACAATGCAATATTTTTTCATAAACTTTGAGGGCTTTGAGTATACAGTCTGATGTAGCTGCGCAGACACAAAGTTGGATTTGTCTCAGAGACTCAGCTTTGTGAAATTTTCTTGATGGAAAATTGTTAAGCCGTTTAAGGCGGCATGCTTACAGCTTCAAAAAGCCACTGCAAAGTATAACATAAATGCATGCAGGGAGAACTAACTAGTAACCAGGAATACTATGTGTGAATGTTTGTGTGTATCTCGGTGAATAAATGTGACTTTAGTCTGTGTGCGTGCACAAATGTGTGTATTTACCACAGTATGACTCACAAACCACATCAGAGACTATGCTGCAGAAAACTGAGACAACGCAGTTTCAAAGAGGAAGCCAGCTCTGATAAAACTGAAAGAGCAACAGGCACATTTTACACACCACCAACACACACACACACACACACACACACACACACACACACACGTGCACGCAAACACACACACTCTCATTAAGATGCACACAAAACCAGGAACAGTTTATGGAAATCCCCTTTTGTTCACCTGAATGAATTAAACTTGGGAGGATTTTGAACCAGAAATTCAAATCTGACACATGATCACAATTTCCTCTTGGCTTGTCTTTCAGTGCAAAAAAGTCTGATATATGTTTATCAAGATCAAATTAAATCGAATATTATTTACTGTGGATTTTATAATGCAATGGAAGGTTAGGTAATGGGTCTTTCTTAAGAAGATTTCAACAGGACTCATTGTGCCGAGGGCAGAGCTGAACTGCAATACCCAACTTTAACCAGCAGATGTCGATATTGACTCGCACATGAGTATCTTAAGCCTTTCGCAACATGGATAAATGTCTCCCTCTATTTGAGGAAATAATTATAGTTCATCCTGAGCACAGCGACAAATTGGAGCAGATCAAGCCATGTATCCTCCTCATATCATTATTCTTTCCATTCTCCTTATATAGTCTGTTCTGTGTTTTCCATGATATTGGAGGTTAGGAAGGAACAGCCTCTTCCAGCTGAAGTGTGATGTAATTGCCTGTTAGAAGCCTCTTATTAGGGAGGAGGGAAGTCAGGACCTGCAAGAACTCATGATGCTAAGTGCCAATTAGCCTGTTCCCCCACATCTAGCTGTACTGTCACGATGGGTAGAATCCACCTCAGGTCCGCAAGCATCAGATTCTAGAAAACAATAGGAGAGACTCCTAAATAAATCTAAAAGCATATTCATACAATTTTCCTCTTGTAAATATGCATTGTTATCTATTGTTCTACTGTTGGAAACAGTAAATTGCTATTTCAGTGATCATGATAAACAGGACTTGCACAAGTGGGGCTGCATGCTGGAAGCACTGCTACCTTCCAGCAAGGAGATTTGGGCTTTAATTCCCAGCCTGGGGTCTTTCTGCATGTTCTACCCATGAATGCATTGGTTCTCTCTGCTTGAGTGTATGCAAATGTCTGACCTGAGTTGTATCAGCAGAAAATACACACCATAATGAAGTTCTCAGAATGCATTTTTTTTTCTTATGCTAGTCGCACTGAGCTGTGGAGGAAATCAAGAGTTAAACTGGTTAGAAATGAATGATTAGTTGTTTCAAATCCTGAGTCATTATAACTCAGAGTATTTGTGTGACTTAAAAATTGTTTGGATAATAATGAGGCTTTTTAAAGAATAGTTTGGTTTTGTTTTATCAGTTGAATTTATGTAAGTAAAGAATAAAAACATAAAAACCAGACACAAAAAAAAAACTCAATCAGTTTTACAGTGAAAGGATTAGAACCAGCGGTACTCTTTGCTGCTCTCGATACATAATTCATGTCATTACCTGCTAATAAATCACCAAATCTAAATGTTATCAAGGCATTAGTAAATGTCAATGGGTAAATGACCTTTAATTAGTCACTTAGTCGGCAGATACGAATGTTAATGGATTGTGCAAATACTTCGCTGCTCCTTTCTAGAAGTCAAAGGGCATTTATGATGCCTTTTGGAGAAATTAAACATAAAAAATATTCACAAATTGAGTTTGTCTCTTCGCCATTTGCCATTTCCCGGCCATTTGTGGAAATTCAATGATAGTTATGTTTTAATAATGGAGGCAATTTTCAACAAATGGAAATCCTGTCAGACTGAGTTCTTTCAGTAAAATTTTTTGATTTTCAAGCAGAGTAGCAGTAAACTAAGGAAATGATTTGGAGGACAAATTAAAATTATGTAGAAAAATGAAACACATGCAAAAAGGTATTACTGACAAAAAAAAAACATTTTTACAGTATCATTTGTAATGTTTGTTTAAATTGATAAATTGGATCTAGTGAACATCAAACAGTTCTGACTTATTTTCAGACTGATGTTAATTTTTGAGCTAATTAACATGTTTAATTTGTGTTGCCTACTATTGCAACACTATTGAAAAAAATCCGTCTGCATTCAGAAAGACTACGTTATATAAGACTGTTGTCTTCATATTGTTCAACAATTAGAATAAGTGACGTCTCAGTCAGTCATGTCACTTATAACACGTTTTTTTTTTATCATGAATTTCGATTAGTAGGCGAAAAAATTATGAAATCAAAAGCAAACACAAAGCATAAAGCTGTACATATTTTTTTTTTATGTTTTATGTTCAAAAAGAACATAAAACTTTTCAATACAAGATATGCTTGTCAAAGATGTATATTCTGTTGTGTCAGG